CTCGACTCGCCCGCGCTGTGGACGGCGATCACGAGCTCGCCGCGCTACGCGCCCGTCCGCGCAGTCCACTTCCTCGCCCGGTCGGGAGACCACCCGGTCGCGATCGTCGTCCGCGACTACATCATCCACGCGCCCCACGTCGCCGCCAACCTCCACCGCGCCCGCTCCCTCGACCTCGACCTCCCCGGTGGGCCCCTCTTGACCTTCCTCACCGTCCTCAACCAGCCCGCCCCCTGCCTTGAATCCCTCTCCTTCGCCGTCCAACACAGCCATGGCCACGTCCCCCCGCCCGCCCTGGCTGCCTTTCCCGCGCACCGTCTCTTCAATGGCGCATGTCCACGGCTCCGCTCCCTCTCCCTCATCGCTCTCTTCCTCCCATTCAACCCACTCGTCTACCACAGCCTCCTCCACCTTACCCTTCTCGACGTCCCCGAGCATGTCCTCTCTCTCAACACCCTCCTCGACGTCCTGAACCAATGTGCCGCCCTCCGCACCCTTTCCCTCACCAACACCCCCTTCCCCGGCCTCCGTGCGCCCCAGCCCTTCATCCCTCGCGAGCAGCCTGTCGCCCTCTCCAGCCTCACCCACTGTGAGATCGCCTTTCTGTCTAGGCCCTCCCTCGTCCACTTCCTCTCCAGCATCACTCTCCCCCCGACCGCCGTCCTCAAGTTCCGCTCTCGCACTTTGCACAGGTCCAACTATCTGATATACCTCGCCGACTACAGCGTCCTCCTCAGCCGCCTCTACCGTTTCGACTTTCACGCCCCCCTCCCCCCTGCACACGTCCGCATCCGCCTCTTCCACTCCCCAAACCCGCTCCCCGGCCTCCCCAGCCCCGACCCGCCCCTCACCGCGGAGTTCGACCTTTCCAGCCCGGACCCCGCCGCCGTCGCCACCAGCGTCACGTCCGCCCTCGCCCTCGCCGCCGTCCACACTTGCGTCCTCGCCGGCCCCGCCCTCGCCCTCTCCGCCCCGCAGTGCGTCGCCGTCCTCGACGCCATGCCCGCCCTGCGCACCCTCCGCCTCGACCACCTCCCCCCCGACACCCTCCACCGCGTCCTCGGCGTCCTCGGTGCGCCCCTCGCCTCGCCCTCCTCCCCCGCCGCCGCCGCCCCCGACGGCGGCGCGACCCTCTGCCCCCGCCTCTCCCGCCTCGAGCTCGTCGGCGCGCTCCACAGCCCCGCTCTCCGCGGCCAGCTCACGGACTGTGTGCGCGACCTCGCCGCCAAGGGCGCCCTTCGCGAAGTCGAACTGCTCAACGCCCGGGGCTTCCCCGATGCCGCTATTTGTGCGCTTGAGGCCATCCCCGGCGTCGCGCTGACGATCACGTAGCCCGTCGCGCGCTGCCTCGGCGTAATGCTTGCCTACACAACGATCCGCGCCACTATTCCGTAGAGATCGATCATGGCTGGTATGGCAGATTTCACTATGTAATATCTTGGAGGGTCTGTCTGTTGCGTTTTCATTTGACTTTTTTCTATGTACGCAGTGCCGTGCCAGCTCTCGAGCGCTACAGCGACTCGCTCAAGCGGAGTATTTGAATCAAAGTACATTGGGATTGATTTTTATGCGACGCGATACTATGTACAATAGAGTATCATCAATGCGTTAGTGGTCGTGAAATGCGATGACAGCAAGGCCCAAACAAAGACAGAAATACAAGCAGAGAAGAACGGAGCACAGCAGAACACTCATCTAGCAGTCCGAGGCATCTAGTCAATCTCCTCCATCGCCGACGTTGACGCAACCTCCTCGACAACAGCGGAGTCGCCGGCCGACGCTTCCGGCGCCGCCTCCTCCTCGTCGACGTCGAGGCCGAGTGAGATCATACGGTGGATGCGCTTCGCGAACGACGTAGGGTCGTCCAGCGAGAATCCAGAAGTGAGCAGCGCGGTCTCGAAGAGCAGGTACGTCAGGTCTCGGACAGACTTGTCGGCCTTGTCCTCTGCGACCTTCTTCTTCAGCTCCTTGACGATCGCGTTGTGCGGGTTCAGCTCGAGCGTCTTCTTCGACGCCATATACGACGACATCGACGAGTCACGGAGTGCCTGCGCCTTCATGATACGCTCCATGTTGGACGACCATCCGAACTGACCAGTGACGAGAACACATGGCGAGTCGGAGATACGGTTCGAGACGACGACCTTCTCCACCTTGTCGCCAAGTGCGTCCTTAACTGTCTTGCACAGCTCCTCGAACTGCTTGGCCTCCTCCTCACGAGCTTGCTTCTCCTCGTCGGTCTCCTCCAACTCCAGACCCTCTTTCGAGACACAGACAAGCTTCTTGCCGTCAAACTCCTTCAGCTGGGTGATGGCGTACTCATCGATGGGGTCGACAAGCAGGAGGACCTCGAAGCCCTTCTTCTTGAGAACCTCCAGGAACGGAGAGTCCTTGACAGACGATAGCGACTCCCCCGTGAGGTAGTAGATGTTCTTCTGCACCTCGGGCATACGAGTAATGTAGTCTATACACAAACGATCAGACAATTGCATCTCCGCGCACAAGCAAATCCAACATACCCTTGAGCGAGGTCTGCTCCTCCGTGGACTTCGTCGAGTAGAAGCGCAGGAACTCGGCGAGCTTGCTGCGGTTCTGCGAGTCCTCGTGGATACCGAGCTTCATGTTCTTGCCGAAGGCCTCGTAGAACTTCGCAAAGTTGTCCTTGTCCTCGGCAATCTCAGTGAAGAGGTCCATGCACTTCTTGACAATGTTCTTGCGGATGACCTTGAGGATCTTGTTCTGCTGGAGGGTCTCACGAGAGATGTTAAGCGGCAAGTCCTCAGAGTCGACGATACCCTTGACGAAGTTGAGGTATTCGGGGATGAGGTCCTCACAGTCGTCCATGATGAACACGCGGCGAACGTAAAGCTTGATGTTATTGCGCTTCTTCTTCGTCTCGAAGAGATCGAAGGGGGCACTGCGAATTATGACATTAATACTGAGACGGCGGACAGACAGCATGTCGCCTTACCGCTTGGGAATGTACAAGATAGCCTTGAACTCAAGCTGACCTTCAACTGAGAAGTGCTTGACCGCAAGATGCTCTTCCCAGTCGTTGGACAAACTCTTGTAGAAAGCTCCGTACTCTTCCGCGGTGATGTCAGAGGGGTTACGCGTCCAAATGGGTTTCGTTTTGTTGAGCTCCTCGTTCTGGACCTCCTTCTCCTTGATCTTCTTCGTCTTCTTAGGCTTGTCCTCATCGTCAACTTCCTCGATCTTGGGCTTGTCCTCATCGTCCTCTTTGACCTCTTCCTCATCGTCCTCAACCTCCTGCAAATCCGACGTCAGTTCGAGTTCATTGAAAATCATTATCGACACTTGCCTTCTCAACCTCCTTTACAACCGCCAGCTGAATGGGGTAGGAGATGAACTCGGAGTGTTTCTTGACGATATCCTTGATCCTCTTCTCCTCAAGGTACTCAAGTTGGTCCTCCTTGAGGTAGAGACGGATCTCAGAGCCGCGACCAAGGGGAGGGTTGACAGTGTCGGTGGTGATGGTGAAGGTGCCACCAGCGGCCGATTCCCAGATGTACTGCTCGTCGTCGTTGTGCTTCGAGATGACCTGGACACGCTCGGCAACGAGGTAGGCAGAGTAGAAACCGACACCAAATTGACCGATCATGGAAATGTCGGCGCCGGAGCTCAAGGCTTCCATGAATCCCTAGCACAGCGATCGTCAGAAACAGGCGCAATGCCACTCGCATGCATGTCTAAACATACCTTCGTGCCCGACTTGGCAATGGTACCAAGGTTGTTGACCATGTCGGCCTTAGTCATACCGATACCGGTATCGCGAATGGAGAGGATCTTGTTCTCCTTGTCGGGGACGATGCGGATGACGAGATCCTTGCCCGCGTCAAGGACAGAGGGGTCGGTGAGGGAGGCATAACGGATCTTGTCGAGGGCATCGGACGCGTTGGAGATGAGCTCACGGAGGAAGATCTCCTTGTTAGAGTAAAAGGTGTCTGCGCGGGGAAATGAGCAAGATGAAGTTCGCGCGCAATCGGCGGTAAACACGCACTGATGATCAGGTCCAGGAGCTGGCTGATCTCAGCCTGGAATCCGAAGCTCTCGGTGGCCATTTTGCAGAAGAGGGGAGATGTGGGAGGGGCAGTGGTGGAAGAGCAAGCTGAAGCAGCGAGGGAAGAGGCCGACGGAGGAAGGGTTTATGTACCGCCCTCCAATTTTTCTTCTCGAAGCTTCGGTCCACATTCGACCAAGACGCAGCTTCTTCGCCCGGCGCTTGCTGCCTTGCCTTTCCCTGTCTTTCCATCGTCTTCGACGCCGCCTGCCTTTCTTGGCCTTCGTTGTTCAACGCCATCGTCTTATTCTCGCGGGTCCCTCCTCACAAGCTGTCCTTAATCTTACACTTGCAATCAGTCAATTCCAGACATATTCCGAATATCAGAACCCAATTCTCAGTCGTCAGCTGGTACACTGCTCTCCACACCTTGTCGCAGTTGCTCCTGCGTCCCCGACCCAGATCGTGACTGCCGGCCGTCAAAAACCAGCCCTTGTCCTCGCGCCTTCAGCACCTCGACCATCGCCGTGACCTCCTCCACCTCGTCTCGCAGCTCTGAATTTTCGTCTCTCAGTCTCTGGTTTGCCTCTGCCAATCTTTTCACATCACCCGAATTGCAATGCCTCGCAAGAACCGCTCCTTTGCGCGCACCTTCCAGCTGTCTTTGCGAAATTGCCAGCTGTGCTTCCAGAGAACTGATTGCAAAGCGGTAGTTTCTGCATCGACAGCATCAGTGAGTGATGCCAATCAACGTCTCATGAGATAAACACACTGCATCGCTTGTTCCATCTCGCTTTGGGTCTGCTCATACGATTCCAGTCTCAGCTCCATCTTCCGGTACTTGCTCGTGAACACCTGCAGATACTCAGCCTGATCGTTCAGTTTCTGTACGTCTAACTCCCTGAAATGACATTGGCTTGCATGATCGTCAAACTCCCAGTGTGAGACGCACCATAGACGTTGCAACTTGACCAGCTGCTCTATCTGCTTCTCATAATCATGCAGTCGGTCTATTTTGTGCGCGTCCTCTTTTATCTTCGTCTCCAGCTGGAATACTCTCTGCACAGCGTCTGCGAGAAGTTTGCCTTGCGCCGCGAAAGTATCCTGTGTATTATTAAGCCTAGAGACTGCGTCCCATCCCACCAAAATTACCTTTGCTTCCTGATCTGCGGCTCGCAGAGCAGCGGCCTCCGCCATCCATGACTTTTTCTCGGTTCGAAACTCCATGAGTTTGTCTTGCATTTTCTGGTTCCAATCCATATACTGGTGTTTCATTGTCGTTGCATGCTCCTTGTGCTCCTTGAGCTCACGCTGAAACCGGAACACCTCTGCTTTGTACTCGCGTAGTTTGTTATGCTAGATCCGAGTCGACCTCAGCAGTCTTGTCTGGAACGGACAGCCCAAATCACGCACCAGCCCTTGCCTCTCTACCTCGGCTGTCTTTGACAGTACACGATCTTGATACAGTCGTCCTATATGTTTCACATTTTCCCGTGCATTCCACAGTTCAAAGTTAAGTTCGTTCCTTAACAATAGAACCTCTCTCTGCAGACCAGCAAGTGCCTGGCCAATATGTGTAGGTGTCGGCTGGCCACTCGTTGATGCTTGCGCAATCTGTGCGCTTTCCTCTTGCCGCTGCTGCACGTCGGTCTTCTCAGTCTCTTCTCTTACCACGTCAAGCGAAGGCGACCGCGTGGTTGGATGCGAAGAGATACTCCCCGCAGACCAAGAAGTGGATGGGTGCACAACTTCGACGTCAAGTCCAGACTTTAATGCGACTGAGACAGAAATCATGTCCTGCAACGACACGCGCGGTTTTCCCGAAACGCCTCCTAAAGCAGGCATGGATAACTCCTCGGGACGGATCGTCGGTGACGACACAAGGGATGCGTGGGCAGAGGTGGAACTGGGATGGACGACCGGCACGGGCACGGGCGAAGGCGGGGAGACGGGATCTGTGGAGAGAACGGCAGGCGCACGCTGCTGTATTCCCAGCGCGGCATTACGCATGTCGAGCATTGTACACTCGCCCACGATACGGGGAATGTCGTATTGGGTCCAGAAATCGGGCTGCGACAGTTCTTCGACGGCGCCCCGCCAAATGAGTAACGGATGCAAAGTGTGCCCCCGCATAAGAGGCTGCAACAACGTTCGTGGGCTACACCCAATGAGATTTGTGGACACCTACTCACCTCGCTCGTACTCCGGATTTTATCTTCATCCAGTGCCTCGTCCCATCCAATCGTGTAAGGGCTATCAAGGCCGCTGTCACTGAGATACCTCACCGGATACCGCAAGAAGCGGATAACGTTGCACGGGAACAAGTAGTATAAAGCCGTGAAATAGCGATGTGCAGATGGTGCAGAAGAAGTACCCCCATCAAACGTCTGCTCCAGCCGCACCCACTCAATATCCTCTCGTATTGGAGGAGTATATGCAAGCTCGTATACCATTTGCGTGTCTTCTATAACTTCATCAGGGTTGGACTCGTCAGGGTCGGAGGAGTCGGTTGACGGACGGGGCTCGCGCTCGCGCCAACAGACGATGCGAGCGAGCACA